CCGAGGTGCTCGGCCAGGCCGGTGACGCGCTGGGAGGGCAGCGAGGTGGATAGCTGCAGGAACTGGTCAGCGAAGAACAGGGGCGCCACCGAGGTGTTCAGCCTGCCGGGAAGGGACCGCGTGGCATCACCACGCAGAGGCCAGGCGAACCCGACGCAGGCCCTCCCGGAGGGACCCCAGGCCCTGGTGTCCCCTGAGGAGGCCAGCGTGGCCTGGCCGGCTCTAGACGGGATGACCTCGGGCGGTAGCAGCCGCGTGAGGCCCTGCAACCCGGGGACCTGACGCAGTGCAGTGAGTGCCCGGGGTACATCCGACACGGGGTGCTGCCCGGCTGAGCCCACACTGTTCCCGATGGGCCCCAGGCGCGGGCCTGCCCCAGGAGCCCCAGCTGCAGGCTGGTGCTGCCCCAGACCCTCCCTGGCCTGGGAGTGGCCGCCCTGAGCTCCAGCAGGAAGGCCCGAGCCAGAGGGGTGGGCCCAGGGCGGGGATCAGGGGCCGGGCTGTCCCAACTCCCTGATCCCCAGCCCGGGGTCTGAGCACTCACAGCACCCGGCCGTCCAGCTTCCGCCGCACCACCAGCCCGAAGGGCTCCTCGGAGAACTCCACGGTGTACAGCGTGGACAGCGCCCGGCTGCGGACGCGCGGGGTCTCCATGGGCACCTCGTAGCGCCTGCTGGCGGGGTCTCTGATCTAGACACGGGCAGTGGTATCACAAGTGGTGTCATGGCGCTGGGCTGGCAGCCGTCCCCACACCTGCCCGCTCCGCCCTTTGCCCCCCGGGGAGCGAGGGTCAGCTCAGACCCAGCACGGCCGGGAGCCCAGGCGCGGCGGGCACCCTCCTGAGCCTCAGTCTCCTCGCCTCCAGAGCATACCCGCCGCGGTGGCAGGTCGGGTGCAGGGTGCTGGGGAGCCCACGGTTCAGAGAAACACCTTTCTTTAGGGTAAGTGTGTCTCCGAGGTTGCGTGGGACCGTCACTGAAAGCGTGAACTCAGTCCCTGGCTACCTGGCCTGAGTTTACCGCGCATCCTGTCCTGTATGTCCGCCCGCTGAGCCTGGCGCCGCCGTTCGGGCCGCCACAGGCGGACGGGAGAGGGTGGGGCCCCAGCTCTCGTCTGGTGCACTCAGTGACCACGCAGTGAACGGGGGCGTTTTAAGTGCCGTGGAGACGACAGGGCCCTCTGAACGAGGTGTCAGCTCCCCGCTTTGCCCCTGCACCTGCGTTTGGGCAGCAGCACCCCCGCCCGGCGCCGGGCTGTGTGCCAGGGGCCGAGACGCTGCCCCCTGCCCCGGCTGGGAATGTCCCCTGCCTTCCACTGTCCTGGCGACCACTGCTACCAGGGGGTGGGCGCTGTGTCTGCTCATGCCAGGGCTGCCCGTGGGGGCCGGGCATACTCTGTGCATCACCAGACCCCTGGGGAGCCCCATCCGACCTCCGTGTCTCCGTGTCATGGGCCCCACCCACCCCGGCCGGCCTGCCCACCGTGAAATGGAGACGGCTCTCGGTCTCCAGCAGCACGTCCAGCCGCAAGCTCAGGATGTCCCTGGGGAAGAAGGTTGGGGTGGCGCGGGCCAGGCCGGCCGTGTAGCCCGTGGCCGTGGTGGTCAGGTTCCCCAGCCTGTAGCTCGGGTAGCTGGGGGGGAAGAAGCACCAGGGCGGCCCCATCTGGGAGCCCCGGGGCGGCCCCACGGGCACGTAGCAGCAGCCGCGGGCCTCGCACTGCTCCCGGGTGATGGCCCTGTCGGGGGCGCAGTCAAAGCGGCTGTTGGGGGGCACGTCGCACCGTGTGGGTGCTGCTCCCGGGCGGGGGCGGGGCCCCGGGCCGCTGGTTCCCTGCTGGTGAGCTCCGAGCTTCTCCTCGGGGTCTCGAGAGAAGCCGCGCGGCTCCTGGGGCATCACCGCCAGATCGTGGAGCAGGACGTGCCCCAGGAGGACAGCGGCGGCCAAGGAGAGGAGGGCGCAGGCCCCCAGCAGCGGGCGGGAGCAGGGCGGCCGCCTCCGGTCCATGGTCTCGGCGGTGCCTGTGGGGACTGGTCGCGCCGGCCTGTGAAGAGAGGAACCATGCTGTTCGACAGGGGAGTGAGGAGCAGCTGGGCCTCGGGGCCCTCACAGCAGCTTCCAGACCCCGCACGTGACCCCGTGTGAGTGGCGGCCCAGAGGTCAGGTCTGCCGAGGGGGCGGGCCAGCACTGTTCTGACAGACGTGGGGGCGGCGAGAAAGGGAACGGGGAGAAAAGTCCCAAACGGGGCTGCAGAGCACTGGGGACCGTTGCAAACGAAATGCATTTATTTGGGAGGTCTGTAAAAATGACCTGAGGACACAGGAAGACCCGCGTGGCAGAGGGACAAGTGGAACGAGCCGGTCCCCACGGCAGACGGCAGACGGGGTGAACCGGCTCCTGCATGAACACTGAGGCTATTACACTGTGACCGGTGGGGTGTCCTGAGGGACACCGCCCGCCCCCTCCCCTCTGCCCCCTCCCGCTGACCTGCACAGGGTTACCGCCTGCGCAGAAGTCTCGGGCACTGCAGCCGAGCGCAACACCCGGGGCCAGGCCCAGGGGAAAGGCCCGGCCCCCGGAGCCCCTGCCGGCCAGAGGTCAGGCTCAGGGGACCCCGGCGTGGCTGGGGGAGCCTCTGTCACGGCAGCCGCACCAGAACCTCACTTTTTTCACTCATCTGTACGTTCTAAGTATTTTGTAAGAACCAGTGTGGGTCCAGCACCTCTGAGGAGCAGAGACACCAGCATGGGACTAAGTGTGCAGGGACTTGGGGGGGGGGGTCCCTTCTGTCTGTCTGAGAAAGTGGGGAATTTCAGGGGGGGCCGGGGGTCACTGCACTCCTGACCGACCAGCTGGAAAGCCAAGGGTTCACGACCCCCAACCTCCTCAGGCTCGCTATCGGCCAGGACGAGTCGCAGAGCCTGGGTTTGCTGTAAAGGGTCCAACTCAGGAGCTGCCAGGTGTTGAAGTACCGGTGGTGGGGGGGGGGAGATGTGGGGAGCCTCTGGGGCCTGCCACCCTCCCAGCATCAAACCGCGCCCACCAGCCCGCAAGCTCTCTGAACCCCAAGTAGTTTGGGGCTTCGTTCTGCAGGCGCGATTGGTTAATCACTGGCCCTCTCAGCTCCCCAGAAGTTGGGGGTGAAAGTTCCCACCCTGAGCCCAGCTTGTCTTTCTGGGGACCGGCCCCAAGCCACCCATCGTCTCATTAGCATATACAAGACACACGTCACTCCCAAGGTACCAGGGGTTCGGGAGTGGGGGGCAAAGACTGATTATTTATTTTTTCTATCACGAGGTGTCCCGGCCCCACCTGACCCTTCCAGACACATCTGAGAGCTGTGATCACGACAGCTCAGAAACTAGGGAACTCGGGGTGTCAGCAGGGTCCTCGGTCAGGGGCTCGTGGGCAACACCCTCCCCCCCCACCCAGAGTTCAGAAGGTACCGTGCAGTGCGGAGCCCAGGGGGACTAGTGCCACAGCCCTCCCGCGGCTTCCATAGAGCTGCCGGGGGAAGGGTGCCAGAGATGGGGCGAGCCGCGGTGTGGGGGGGGGGGGGGGGGGGGGGGGGGGGGGGGGGGGGGGGGGGGGGGGGGGTGGGGGGGGGGGGGGCAATGTAGAGAAAAAGGGGAAGAGTCGAAGGTCAGGAGGTCCAGCAGCGCTGCTCCCCAGAAGACCGTCATGGCGTTCAGGGAAGTGGCCCAGACCCTGGTCCCCGGCCAGGGTGGCGGTGTAGATCAGCCGGTTCAAAGCCCAGCTCCCCAACTGGAGGGGCAAGCAAGGGTCCGCCCGTGCCTCAGTTGCCTCCCCGTGAAATGGGCCAGTGCAGCCTTCCTGGCCCGGCACCGCGGGACTGAATGAGGACCGTGCGGCTTCCGGGGTCCCAGTCGTTACTCTTGCCCCCGCCGCGCGTGGACCCTAGCACGGCGTGCCCAGCTTCTCCAAGGGGAAATCACTGACGACCGGTACATCGATCCATCAATCCGTGCTGCCCTTGAGGGCCTCACGGCTGCCCCGACCCGACAAGGAGGGCTGCAGCGGACCGCCCGGACCCCTCGCTGGGACCGCGCTCAGCCCCGGGCCCGTTACCCGCGGCCCGCTCACCTCCGCGCACGCGCGCCCGGTCCCGGACACTCACCTCCGCGCGCGCGCGCACTCAGCTCCGGGCCCTCGCACTCCTTTGCGCACGCGCGCCGGGTCTGCAGCAGCGACCGCGAGTCAGGTGCGGGCGGGCGCCCGCCGAGGCCGGGGAGGGATGGGTCACGCGATCAGAGTCTGCGCAGGCGCCTTGGGCGAGGATGCGCTCCTTTGGCCCTGCGCCCCCTAGTGGCTCCTCCGGCCACGCACCTGGAATGTGGGCGGGGTGGGCGGTGCACCTGGCCCGGCGCTGCAGCTCTCGGCAGCGGCGCTCTGATGCATTCCAGGTTGGGGGAGGGCCGACACGCACCCGCGGGCACGCCCTGGCGGCAGTCAGGCTTCCTGGGAGCCGGCCAGGCGGCCCAGGGGCCCCCCTCCTGCCAGTCCGGCCTGAGAGGCGGGCGCAGGTGCTCGGCACCGGAATGGCAGAGAGCGAACTGTTGGAAGCAGCTTCAATTACTCAACTTAAACTTAGTAACTCTCTCCGCGAAGGAAAACGTTACCCATGGAGTCGACCGTGGTGAAAACGTTACAGGACGTCCACAAGTAGTTTTTCACACAGTGAGAAAATTCTTCCGTTTACAGGAGCGAGCTTCTCGGAGGGGAACTCAAACCCGAACCCCGTGGGATCCTGCCCGCCGAGGGGTCACCAGCAAGGCGCCGGCACGCAGCTGGCGACACTTAGGGCGTCCCCAGCTTCCTCATGGTTTTTGTCTTTATTGTTTTAGAATAAATATGCCTTCCTCCATATTCAGAAAAAAAATAGTTTATTTTCCTGTTGAAAAGTTTGAAAGTGAAATTATTTTGTAGACTGTGTTCCCTTGACGGTACAGAGAGGACACAGGTACCAACAGTTGCTCAGGAACTGGGTGTGGGACAAGGACACTCGGGTGACAATGAAGGCGGGACCAGCGGGCAGAGCCGGGAGGGTCCGAGTGTGCACCCACTACGCGCGGGCTCACTGCAGTCACTAGGTCTCCGTAAATAGCGCCGGGTGGTCACTGCCCCTGCACTTTGTCCCCTGAGCTGAGACTCGGGGTTTAACCCAGGCCGGGAGCGGGGGCAGGAGAAGGGACCCAAGTTCCCTGGGAGGTGGGAGCGGGCAAGCTGCGGATGAGAAGGAGGGTTTTCCGATGCGCCCCACTGGACAGAGCAGGCGCCAGCCCAGGTGAGCAGGAAGCCCAGCGCCCGTGGGAGCACTCTACGCGCAGAAGCGGGAGCCCCCAGACCCAGGTCCCGCTCGGGGAGCCCGTGCAGCCTGGGAGCAGGGTTTGGTCTGCAGGCGCTGCTTTGGCGAAGGGAAGACTTGCCTGGGGCGACTGGGATCCTTGGGGTCTGACTTGGTTTAGTCTGGTGGGTGGTTGGGAAACATTCCTGCAGGGCTGGCCTGTGCATTTCTCTCATCGGTGTCACTCTCTGAGGGCAGACGTGGCTGTCACGACACAAAGAGATCCCGTGGCCCCTGGTGACACTCGAACTCACTGCCTCTCCCCGGGGGGCCGGCCTGGGAGGCGCAGGCCGGGCTGCCTCCTAGAGGGAGGGCCTGGGGGCGCCCAGCTTGCCGGCCACGGTCTCCGTGAGCTTGAGCAGGGCCTTCCGGAACTGGGGGTGCTCCTCCTGCACGCGGGCGAGGATGGTGCCGATGGTGGCCAGCCGGTTGTCCAGGCGCTGGCGCTCCTCCAGCAGCGACTGCTTGGAGCGGAACAGGAACACGTACCTGCCCTCCCTCACGGCCTGCAGGTGCTTCAGGCGTGTCTGCAGGGCCACGAGCTCGGAGAGTCTCTTGGGTGGGACAAGAGACCCCGTGTCAGGCTGGGGAAGTGTAGAGAGGACGCCCACCGCCCACCCCCCCCCCAAAAATCCCAGACTGGAAAATAGGACGCAGAGCAGAGCTGCACGGGAAAGGGACAGCAGGAGGCACATGTCCCCACGTCTAGGGGATGAGGCTGGGGTAGAGCCTTCCTCCATCGTCCGAGGGGCAGGTGACCGGCCGTGCGGTGGGCCTGAGGCCGGACACTTCCCGCTGCCGTCTCCCTGTCCCAGCCGACCAGCCCCAGAGTCCCCAGGCCTGCCTGACCCTCTTCCGCTCACACCGCCCAGTCTCTCGGGCAATCCCACCGGGACGACTCTGAAGTTCTGGGTGCGCTCGGAGCGCCGCCCACTGGCCCCACGGCGGGTGGTGGTCCTCTCTGTGGGTCCTCTCAGCCCCGCACCCGCCCAGAGAGAAAGGTCCAAGGTCACCACGGTGGTCCCCCGAGGGGGCCTCGCTTCCCCGCAGTCCAGCCTGTGGCCTCCAGTGGCTCCGGGTGACCTGGAGCTCCAGCCTGGCCCACTGTCCCCTCTGCCTGGGGTGGCCGGCTCCCCCGCCTCCTGCGGCCTCTGATGTCCTGTCCTGTCCCGAGCCCCTCACCTAAAAGCGCGATCCCACCCCACTCTGTTTCTGTTTATTCTTCTCCGTTGCATTTGCCACCTCTGCCACCTGATGGCTTTGCTCTGACCGTGTTCACCACCTGTCCCCCTGCCCCCAGAACGCAGCCTCGGGGACAGCGGCTGCTGCCTCCCAGGGCTGTGCCGGGACCACGGCCGGAGCCTGATGCGTGTGGGACGGACAGAGGGTGGCCGAGCGCTTGGCGGGGCCCCCACCAGTCTACCTGCCGCTTGAGGGCGGTGAGCCGCTCCAGGTCGGCTTCGAGCTCCTCGGTCTGCGTCTGCATGGCCGTCAGCTGCGCCTGCTTCTCCACGAGAGAGTCGCTCATGCGCTTCTGGGTTTCCTCCAGTTCCAGGATGTTGTTGCTGCACACCTCGGTGGCCTAGGGGGCACAGATGGGGTCACGCAGGGCCCCGTGTCCTGGCTGGCCAGCAGGAGGAGGGCAGCCGGACTCTGGCCAGCCTCCTCCGCACCACGCGGGGGGACCCCCAGAGAGGGCAAGGACAGCCCGCCCCTCGGGGTCTGTGACCCGGGGTGGGGGGCGTGGGGGCTGCGTTCCGGCTAAGCCCGCGCCGCAGACCGCTCCCCAGAGGCCGGTGACGCCCGCCAGCGAGGCTGGTGGCCCATGCCGACCCGGAGGGAGGGCGACAGGTGGACGCCGGCCCGTGGCCGGGCCGTCCCCGGTGGGCCCCCTACTTTGTGAAGGTCCCTGATCTTCCGCCGCAGCTCCGCCTGCTTGTGGTAGAAGTCCGTCCGGGTGAGCAGCTTCTTGTCCCTCTTGCTCTGCCCCTCGGCCTGGGTGGCGATGGTCTCCCTGCGGGTGACGGCCAGCTCCATGTCGCGGACCATCCTCTCCTGTCGCTTCAGCAGCTGCGCGTGCTTGACCTGCAGACGCGGGGCCGAGGGGGCAGGTGGGAGGCTGGCCGCCGCCCCACGCCCGCCGGGGCTGGCGGGGAGACAGCCCCCGGAGGACCAGGGGTCTGGATGCCCCGTCCGCTGGACAGAGTCACGTGAGGGTCCGCGTGGAGAGTGAAAGGGGGGCAGGGCGACCCCGAGAGCCGGTCGGAGACTGGAAGAGGTCAGGCCGCACGAGGACCGCACGCAGCCCAGGGCTGGACCGGAAGACGGACGTCAGCCCGGCCCCCAGCGGAGTCTGGTTCGTCTGCAGTGTGGGTCATCGGACTGTCCCAGGGCAACCTTCTCCGTTGGGACAGACACACCGAGGTGGGTGGGGCCTGGGCCTGGGGCTGGGCGGCACGCGGGAATCTGACGAGGAGGGAAACAGGTGTGTATCTTCGTCAGCCCTCACAGCCCTGTGGGCCACAACGGGTGAGCCTTTGCTCAGTTAATTACCCCAGTTGAAAACATTAGTGGAGCCCTGGCCGGTGTAGCTCAGTGGATTGAGCGCCGGCCTGAGGACCAAAGGAGAACCAGTTCGACTCCCAGTCAGGGCACGTGCCTGGGTTGTGGGCCAGGTGCCCAGTAGGGGGCGCACGAGAGGCAACCACACATGGATGTTTCTGTCCCTCTCTTTTTCCCTCCCTTCCCCTCTCTCTAAAAGTAAATACAATCTTAAAAAACACATCAGTGGAGCCCTGACCAGTGTGGCTTCAGCGGCTTGGGTGTCGCCCTGCAAAACAGAAGGACGCCGTTTCACCATCGCTTCCGGGTCGGGCCCGTGCCCGGGGTGTGGGTTCGGTCCCCTGTCACGGCGCATAGGAGAAACAACCAACAGATGTATCTCTCGCACATCGATGTTTCTCTCCCCCTCGTTCTCTCTTCCTTTCCTTCTCTCTAAAGATAACTAATTAAAATCTTTAAGTAAAAAAAAAATTAAAATGTTAGCCAACCAAAAACACCCTCCACTGTCTGCAGAGGCCGAAGGGACACAGGGATTCTCGAGTACGTTCCGGGGAAAACCATCTGTCAGACTGTAGCTCGGTCAGGAGGTCACCCATTCTCTGACCCTGGAACCCTAATTCCGGGCGCCCGCCCACAGAGTGCCAGCGAAGGAAAGCCAGGCCCCTTATCTGTGCTTTCACCTCCTGAGGTTTCACCTACGCAGGCTCAACCGGGCGCTGATGCTGTCACATGGAACATTCCGGAAAGAAACGGCTCGCAGGTTTTAAATGGGCCCGTGCTGAGCAGCCTGGGGACACCTCCCGCCTGCCGCCCCGTCCCCCGTCTCCACGCTGGGGACGCCCCCCACCCGGCTGTCACTTCGGCAGCCATCTGGGTCCCCGGGTCCACCGTCCAGTCCAAGAGCTGGTGTTCAAGTCACCCGTGTGCCACCTGATCGTCACGGCCCCCAAGTGCAAAGCAGTGACGCTGGCGGCTGAGGCGTGCCAGAGAAAAGCCGGAAGGGGCTTCCCGGGAGTGAAGGGTCCGTGTGTGTGTGTGTGTGTGTGTGTGTAGGGGAGGAGCATTGCTCAGAGGAGGTCTGGTATTGCGGGGCCAGGCCCAGACTCAGGGGCTACTGGAACGACACTATTGTAACATTGTGTGTAGTGACGGAGCAGCAAACTGGAAACAACCCGACTTTTCATCAGCCAGCGACAGTCTCAGCACGGAACACGTGGGGAGTACATTCTGTGTCCGTTACAGGGCGGGCTGGCGCCCACGCTGCTCTTGAACCAGGAGTCGCCGACCTGTAGGCACGGACCCTCTTTGTTAAGGAGAAAGCGAACCGCCAGCAGGAGGGAGGGCGGCGGCAGCCCGTCCGTGCGTCTGTCCGAGCTGTGCTGGAGCGACCGACCTGCTGTGGCCACAGACTCGGCTTCTGTGGTTTGAAAAGTCAATTAAATGGGGTCTGGGTTTTTTAATGATCTTTTTTAATTTCTTAAAAAAGATTTTATGTATTTATTTTTAGAGAGGGAAGGGAGGGAGAAAGAGAGAGAGAGAGAGAAACATCAATGTGCGGTTGTTGGGGGCCGTGGCCTGCAACCCAGGCATGTGCCCTGACTGGGAATCGAACCTGCGACACTCTGGTTCATAGCCCGCGCTCAATCCACTGAGCTATGCCAGCCAGAGCTTAGTGGAGTGTTTTTTCTTGTTCTGAGGCACCCAGAGCAGGTGTATCTGGTCAGAGCCCTCTGAGCTCCCCCGCCAGAGGGCAGATTGTTCAAACCAGCCAGTGAGACCGGGCTCCCATCCACCTCCCCGAGCTGCCCCTAGCGGTGTGCTTCGAGCCCCGGAGCTTCGGCTCAGTGACCGCTCGTGACATCATCGCTGGCATGACCTTAAGGTCACGAAACCCAGCGAAAGGCAGCCAGGGAGGGCGGCCCTGTGCGAGCGCCCCCGGGGACACAGGGGGAGGAAAGGACAGACGCTGCCACCCTCCCAGGGACCTGGGCCCAGGACACTGTCCCGGCCCAGACCAGCTCCTCCCCCAGGCCCCCCCACGGCCAGCCCCCGCGCCCCCGCCCACCTGCATCCTGTGGATCTCGGCCTTCATGGCGCGGATCTCCGTCTGGCCCGTCTCCGAGCTCACCGAGGCACGCATCTCCTTGGCCAGCTGGATCTTCTTCTCCCAGAGCATGATCTGGTGCCTCGGGGCGGAGACCAGGCCGGGTGAGGGCCCGGGGGCCTCGGGAGCTCGCCCCCTGCAGCTTCCCTGGGCTCCGCCCCGAGGCCTCCCTCTGCCCCCAGGAGCCCCGCTGAGGGGGCCGGAGGTCGGGCCCGGGCAGAGGGGGGCGCAGTGCTGCGTCCCAGGGCCCACGTCTGCGATCGCCTGCGGTCACTCCGGGAGACCCCCCGCCCAGCCCTAGCCGTCGGGGGGCCTGTGGCACATTTCCCGGCCCAGGCACAGCGAGGGCCATGCCTCCCTGGGGACCGGAGAGGGGCCGCAGCCGTGGAGGCTCCCCTCCCTGGAGGCGGGGGGTGCGCTGACCACCCTGCCGCTCCCTGCCTTCCCCCTCCGCTCCTCTCCCTGCCCCTGGAGTCACAATGTAATTAAAAAAAAAACTTCATCTCGATGAAACCTGCTCTGTTTCCAGCGACACCTGGTCCGGGGCGGGGGACCAGAACCCGGCAGTACCGGCCAGCTGCGCCTGGGGTCAGCCAGCCCGGGGAGGGGGTTTCGTGGGCGGCGGACGCACCGGGGCCCTCAGGGGTGGTAAGGGGGGGGCAGGCCGGGCACTCACTCGGCCTCCACCAGGCTGTTGAGGATGGACGCCTTCTCCTCCGTCAGCTGGTCCAGCCGCTCCTGCATCTGGAGGGTCTCCCGCTCCGAGGCCTGCAGGGGGAGGGTGAGGGGGGGTGGCTATGCAGTGGGCGCCCACAGCCGGGCCCCCCGTCCGCCCATGCCCCCCCCCCCAGGGGCGGCGGGCCAGGCACCGACCTTGAGCGCCTGCACGAAGGCGCCCTCGGCCGCCAGGCGGTCCTGCTGCAGGTCCGCCGAGGTGCTGCGGCTCTTGCTCAGCAGCACGTTGAGCTTCCGCAGGTCGTTGTCCAGGTCTCGCAGGTGCCGCTCGATGTCCTTCTGCTCCTTCTTCTCCTGGTCGATCTTGTCTGTGGCGCAGAGCGGGGGCCCCGAGGGCGGGTGAGCAGGCCCGTGGCTCCCCTCGCCCCGCTGTCCTCTGGGCACCCCCCACCCAGTCACGTCCCTCCAGGGCCGGGGGCGAGGGACGGGGTCCCTTCTGGCTGCTTGGTTTCCAAAGCCTGTCCCTCCCAGGACCCGGAAGGACCCAGGCACGGTGACCGGCAGGCGGGGGCGTGACACAGGAGGACACACAGGTTCCGGGCATGGCGGGACACGTGGGGACCCCGGCCCTGCCCGCGGCGCCCCCTCCAAGCTCAGGGGTCACAGGTGGAAAACACTGGCCCTAGTCTCCAACAAGGGGGCTCGGCGCCCCCGGCAGGGCAAGCAGGCGGCAGCCCCGCTCCGGTGCAGGGACCCCGGACCACTGGGCAGCATCCGCAGGGGCCGTGTGGCTCGGCCGTCCTGCGCGGACCCTGGGTCAGAAACCAGATGGGGCCACAGGGACCAGGGCGCCTCAGCAGGTGGCCATCAGGCGGATGGCACCCAGGAAGGGTGCCTGCCCACCCCAGACGCCCTGGCACATGCCAGACCCCTAGGGTTTAGACACGGCCTGGGGTGAGACAGGGACTTGTGCGGGGGGGCGGGCCAGTGCTCTAAGCTCAGCTGCAGAGGAAGGAGGATTCTGTTCCGGAAGCCCCGGGCTGGGGGCCCGAGGGGCCGCCGACCCCCTGGGCAGGGGACCGGCCCAGGGACCTGCAGCGTGTCGGCGATGCCAGCCGAGTCACCCCTGTCTTGGGCCAGAGGGCGCCCCTCCGGGGACTGTCTCTGGTCGCACCCCGAAGGCTGCCACTTAACAAACTCAGTGCATGTTCCCCATCGTCCGCCACCGTGCCTGCAAACCGCCTGCCGGTCAGGGCGCCGCGGGCCGGGCCACACTCCCAACCTGAGCCGTGAGGGCCACGGGTCTGCCTCTGAGGCCCCGGACAGGACCCCCCCACCCCCACCCGGCTGCCCGCCCCGGGCTGCAGAGTCCCGGACGCCGAGCGCGAGGGAGGCCCTTACTCTCGATGCGCAGCTTCTTCCGCTCCAGGATGTGCACCTCCTTCCGGAGCAGCTGCAAGGAGGCGAGCTGCTCCTCGCGCTCCTGCGTGGCCCTCACCATGTCGTGCTGCAGCCGCAGCCAGCTGGCCTGGGCCCGCGTCACCTCCGCGCCCTGCTCATCCAGCTGCCGGTGCAGCCTCTTCATCTCCAGCTCCAGGGGCCCCAGCTCCTCGCCCTGAGAGGGGGTTTGCCAGAAGGCGCAATGAGCCTCCTTGTTTGTTGGCCGGGGCCTGCTTTCTCGGGGGGGTTGAGGGGGCTGGACCCCAGGGACCCTGCACCCCTGCCAGGGCCCCGTCCACATGCCCCTGACCCGCTGCGGGAGACCCGCTGGTCCCCACTGCTGGCCGGGCCCCACCGTGCAGCGGCCACGTGGGGCCTGGGACAGGGTGGGCGGGGCCTCGCTCTCCCGACAGGACCCCGCACATGGTCTTTTCCCGGCAGACTGTCCCACTCAGGGACTTCTTTCCCTTGGCACCCACCGGGTGCCGCTGGGAGAGAGCCCTCGGGGGCTCGGGGCCGACCCAAGCACTGGGGCTCGAGGCCCCCAGTTGGGGTCCTCAGGTCGGAGCCCCTGGGAAAGCTACGGGACCCCCCAGCCTCAAACCCAGACTGGACCGAGCCACACCTGTCCACTCAGCACAACACAGGGGCGAGAGCAGCCCAGCCCCCAGAACCTGGAGCAGTCGCTCTCTGGCCCCGGACAGGGAGGGCTGCGGGCCCTGGCTTAGAGCGCCCCCCCCCCTGCACCGGAGCTGCCCCCCGCCCCCCTGCGGGACGGGTGGGGAAGGAGAGTTGAATTCCCCGCGGGTCCACGTCGAACCCTGAGAGATTCCCGAAATGGCCAGGCGCGCCCGGCGGCCCCCCGGGCCCTCAGCCCCGGGCCGGCCCTACCCCCAGCTCCGACACCATCTGCTCCAGCTCCTTGCTCAGTGTGTTGATCAGGCCCTGCTTCCGCTCGATCAGCGTCGTGCGCCGGCACACCTCGCTCTCGCTGGTGCTGATGAGCTCGCCCGCCCTCTTCACCTCGCCGTCCAGCTCGGCCAGCGCCGCCCGGTGGGCCTCCAGCCTGCAGGCCGTGTTCGTGATGTCCAGCGTGGCCTGGGCGATGTCGCCGTCGATTTTGGAGAGATGCGTCACCTGAGCGAGTGGGAGGAAGCGCGTCTGAGCACCGGACTCCCCCGGGAGGCTCCAGCGGAACCAGGGGGCGGGGGGCGGTGGAGGGGGGGGCTGGAGGAACCGCACACGCCGTCACGGCCGTCGATCTTTGTCACCGGGACGGCAGGAAACTCTGGGCCCCCGGTCCTTGCTGACTATCGACCGCTCACAACAAAGAAAGATAATGATCGTTTCTTTTTTTGTAAGATTTTATTTATTTACTTTTAGGGAGGGAAGGGAGGGAGAAAGAGAGAGAGAGAGAGAAACATCAATGTGTGGTCGCTGGGGGCCGTGGCCTGCAACCCAGGCATGTGCCCTGACTGGGAATCGAACCTGCGACACTTTGGTTCATAGCCCGCGCTCAATCCACTGAGCTACGCCAGCCAGGGCTGATTGTTTCTTCTTAGACAGACAGTGACACCCGAGGCGGGGAAGTGTGCAGACACGGGGGAGGACATCACCCCCAACCCTGCCACGGGGCTGGTCACGCCCCCCCACCTGCCTGGAACCTGTCCGTCCTTCTGTGTACGGCAGGGTCACGCCCCACACAGAGGTTTGTAAGCCCCCCTTTTTAATCCTCAAGGATTAAAAATTTACTGACTGCAGAGAGAGCGAGGCGGAGAGGAACACTGATGTGTGAGAGAAGGATCTATCAGTGACCTCCCGTATGCGCCCCTACCAAGGACTGGACCTGCAGTGTGGGCATCTGCCCTGACCGGGAATCGAACCCACAGCCCTCTGGTGTCTGGGACGACGCTCCAACCAACTGAGCCACCTGACCAGGGCGTGAGCCCCTTTTTGATTTGATAGGTCTTGTCTCCGCTTCTCGCCCTACCGTTTCTGACGACCGTGCCACGCCCTGGCCATTGTGTTTGTGAACACAGTCTAGGGCGGGAGTCACAGCCGTGGCGGGCACGCCCCCATCCCTCGCCCCCGCGCCCGCTGTCGGCGGTCAGCCAGCTTCGAGCTTCGGCGGAGGAAGCCAAGGTGCCCGGCGGCTCCGCCGGCAGGCGGTCACTGACAGTCTCTCTCTGAATAACGCCGTGGCAGACACTGGGCTTCCCATTTGTATTCGTGGGGCAAACGTCCCTGCCTTTGACCAAAGAGCTGGACACAGTCCTGCAAAGAAGGGTCCTATGGTGGGGTGTTGTCCAGCACCCACCTAGAGGCGTGTGACCCAGGGGCGCTCGTCCACCTTGGGTTAAGGGGCGGGGCTGCGGCCCTGGAAGCGCGGCCGGAGAGCATGGCAGGGCCCTCCCGAGGTCCTGAGGCTCTGACCAGCCCACCCCACCTCCGCCACGGGCTCTCAGAAAGCAGGTCCCCTCCTGTGACACGGGGTCATCACAAAGGCGTTTGTGCAGGTCAGACACGGAGGTGGCTCTCTTGGGAACGGGTCCTTTCCCGTGGCGGTGGCTCCGCCCTGACCCCCCAGCCTCGCCCCCAGGCTCCCACCAACCCCCAGCTCCCCCCCGCCCCCCGGTCACCTGGGCTCCTCCCATGGACCCCGAAGAGCTCTGTGCCACAGGCACTGTCTGACCGGCCACCGTGGGTGACTTCCCAGGACACTCGACATTTCTAGGTTTCGAAGCCAGGCCCCGCCCCCCTGGAGCAGAAGCTTCCAGCATCTGCAGTCGCCAGCACCCTGAGGGGCCACCCTGGGGCCCTACTGCGATCTGAGCTCGGCCGACCCCACCCGTCCCTTCCTTTGCCAAGATCATCCGCAGTCACCAGGCCACCCTGGGGTCTTCCCAGGGCCCCCCCCCCCCCGCTCTCTGTCCTGGCGCTCAGCACCCAGCCGCCAGCCAGAAGGCCCCAGGGACACTGCTCCACTCCCAGGCTGTTCTCCCACGGAGTCACCCGTTCTCCCACGGAGTCACCCGGCCTCCCCGATGTCAGTACAGCTCTTGAGTGAACTGCCCAGACCCCACCGCTGGCCCGTGCCCACCTGCCCTCCGGACCCCGGGCCCAGGTAATTCAGCCCACCCACAACCTCTGCCCCAGACTCGCCCCACCCGGCCGGCCACCAGCCCCTGGGGGTTTCTGAGCTGGCTCTTCACTGCCCTCTTCTGGACACTGACCGTAGTACGTGTATGAGCTTCGTGGGCAGCAGGAGGGCAGGGTAAGGCTGGGGGGGTGGGGCTGCGGACTGGCTTCAGGGGTGCCGCACCTGGGCCGGACAGGTGGCTTCACGCCCCCCCGCACTCCTTAGCCCCTGCAGCGCACCCCAGGGCCCCCACGTTTGCTCCCAGCTGCTGGTCTTGCCCCCAGCTCCCAGAGAACGGCCTGGCGGGACGCCCACCAGGACGCCCCGAGGAGATCCAGCTTTTCACAGGCTCGGTTCCAGCCCCGTGTCCCCCCGTCCTCGGCGCAGACAGGACAGCTGCCCCCCTCCCAGGTGTCCGGGGGCGGTGGGGCAGCTACAGGCAGTCACCAGGTCGCCGGGCCCCAGCCCCCCGCCACAGGACAGGGGAGCCGCACCAGCTGGGTTGCTGGTCGCCTCCACAGCAGTGACCTCCAGGGGGCTCTGCCTCGGGCCTCCCCAGACATTGTGCTCAAATTCTGTAAAGGGTCAGAGCCAACCCTCTGACGCCTATAGGGGTCTCCTGCCTGGGAAGACAGTGCTGGCAAGGCCCAGGGTCCCAAAGGAGCTGCGTGCCGAATGCCTGGGACCTCCACCTAGGTTCCCCCACCTGCCACCCTGCAAAAGCCCACCCTGGGCTGGAGGCATGCAGGCGGAACCTTCCGGAGGGGCCAAAAAGCACAGGCGTGCGCTCCTGGTTCATGTGGTGGCCGCTCTGCAGACCCATGGGGGGGACCAGCCTGTCCCCTGAGACCTCACTGGGGGCCTGCCTGTGGCGGGGCAGGGTGGGGCCCGCAGAGACAGGGCCTCCCACAGGGTCACAGCACGGGAACAGGTGAAGGAGAAGCTATTCAAGCAAAGAGCTGCTTTTCCAAGGACACGGGGACCTGGGACCGCAGTGCAAAGGGAGGCAAGACCCCGGGGGATGGAGAGAGAGAGCTCATGACGGGGGATGGGGGTCCCCCAGGCCAGGAAGGCTGCACCCCCCCATCAGGAACTCCAGGTCGACCTCGGCCAGGCAGAGGCTCGGAGGTTCTGAGGTCCGTTTCACACGCTCCTGCCCTCGGACCCGGGGCTCGGGCTACGGGGCTTCCCCCTTGGACAGTGGAGGGCTCAGGGCTAGCCGGCCCCTGCAGAGCGTCAGTGTCCAACACCTAGCGACAGCCGGCCACGCCCCCCAGAGCGCGGCGAAGAGACGCAATGGCGTGAGCACGACCGCGTGGTCGAAAACGCCACGTTAAAGACGGCCAGCGGAGTGAGACAAAGCAGCACGGACGCGGGGACACGTTCGAGCTGCACTTCCCGTCTCTGCGCTTCTGTGCCCGTCTCAGAAAACGAGCGAAGGTGGACTGGACTCGGCCAGCGGCACGCGTGAGGCCCTGCGTGCGCCTCCGTGTTCGCGTGTGGCCGCCAGCGTGCGCGTGCAGGTGTGCGCATGTGCGTGTCCCTGTGTGTGTCTTTGTGTGTATGTATTTGGTTGCACGTGGACGGGCGTGTGCGTTTAGAGACACCCCCAGATGGAAACGTGCCAACGTTCTAGAAGGATGATCCCGGGAGAGCTGCCTCATTTTCCTCCGACTGCCTCTCTGCCTCTCCAGGTTTTCTCGAATGAAAACGCGGTGCTTTCATGGCTACAGAGAGTGCAACGTGAAGGGACACACCGGGGCCCCCGGCCCCACGTGGTCTGTCTATGGGGCACGCCCCAACCCCGCTGTCCACTGGGGGGCGCCCTCTGCCACGGCGGCAGCGGCGGTGGGGGGAGGCGCACATACCAGGTTGGTCTTCTCCTTCCGCAGCTTCAGGATGAGCTGGTGGAAGTACTTGGTCATCTTGTTGGAGGTCACCTGCTCCTGCAGCTTCTCCAGGATGCAGGTGTCCAGCTTCCGGCGCACGTCCAGCTCCTGCCGGATGGCCTGGCGGGCCGCCTGCAGCTCGGCCATGGCCGCCTCCTGCTCCGTGTGGGCGCGGCCCAGCGCGTCCTCCGTGTCCTGCAGCACCAGCCGGTAGGTGTTGACCTGGCCCTGCAGCGCCTCCTGCCGGGTCAGGCACTGCGCGGTCAGCTTCTGCGTCAGCGCCGTGCCCGTCTCCGCCCGGTGCAGGAGGCCCGCCAGCCGCTCGTTCTTCTCCTCCTCGCGCACGATGGACTTCTTGTAGGCTTCCACCTCGGCGTCCAGGGACTTCAGCTGGTGCCGGCACTCGCTGCCCAACGAGAGCAAAGCCAGCGTGTCAGTCAGGCCAGGCCAGCACCCGGGGCTCGCGGCCGCCCCCGCCCGCCCGCGCGGAGGAAACTAGCGGTTTGCGCGGCAGCCGGGCCTCGACTGCCGCTTGCCGGCACCGTGGTAGGGCTGTGACCCACTTCGAGCCCGCGCCTAGAACGAGTTTGAGATGGAGTGGTGGGGGAGGGGAGGGAGCTGGCACGCAGAGGCCCGTCTCTGCCATCACGTTACACCTGAGTGCTGTCCTGGTTTTATTTATTTACTTATTTATCTTTAGAGAGTGGGGGAGGAGGGAGGGAGAAAGGGACAGAAACATCCACGTGTGGTTGCCTTTCCAGCGTCCCCTACTGGGGACCTGGCCCGCAACCCAGGCACGTGCCCTGACTGGGAATCGAACTGGCGACCCTTTGGCTTGCAGGCCGGTGCCCAGTCCACTGAGCCACACCAGCCAGGGCTATCCCAGTTCTAAAGGTGGGAACACTGACAGGACAGCGGCTCACCCCACCCCTGGGCGGCCGTAGCCTCAAATTCGACTGCTCCCCGCTTGGCAGCTGGCCGTGGGAATACCTGCGACTGGCGGCGAGGGGAGGAGGGCCGGTCCTGCGTGGCGGGATTTGACTGTTTGTTTGCGGGGAGGCTCTTCTCCTCCCCAGGGGCTGCCTGCTTCCCACCCGCCTCCCTCCACGGCCCCGGAGGGTCCGACACGGACAAAGTGTCACTGTCACAAAAGGGGCGAGACAGCAACATTTAAAAATCCCGTACCTGGTTTTTCAAATGTCCTGTGATGTGATCACTTATACTTGATAAAGATAATTTTTTAAAAAACTTTAAAAACACTTCCTTGAGCCCTGGCTGGTGTGGCTCAGTGGACTGGACACTGGCTTGCAAACCCGAAGGTGGCAGGTTCGATTCCCAGTCAGGGCACAGGCCTGAGTTCCAGGCTGGATCCCCAGTAGGGGGCGCTCGAGAGGCAACCGGTTGATGCATCTCTGCATGTTTCTCTCCCTCTCTTTTTCCCTCCCTTCCCCTCTCTCTATAAAGAAATACATAAAATCTTAAAAATAAAAAAGACCACAACAGCAAAAATCACAGCATTTAAAAAAAAGAGAAAAACTTCCTTGCTTGGTAGCTACCGACAGAAAACCATCCCAATAAGAACTGGTGGGTGTAGGACCGTGTCCCACCGGCTGGGCGGTCTGAGGATGAGGAGGGGACCCGCCTCGGAGCCTGGGTGGGACTCTGCACACTGCTGGAGCTGGCCCCGCCCCCTTGCCGTGGCCCTGTGTCTGGGGACACGTTCCCAGTGGGCGCTCTCTCCAGGAACAGCTGAGAGACGAGGCTGGGGGGAGGGTGCCGCGGCTGGGAGGGGGGTCGGTGGGGGTGGGTGTCCTGGAGGCACCAAGGAGTGGACAAAGGTGGGGGCGGGGGGCACACAGGAGCCACCTGCGTGCTGCGGTTTGTCCCCGCGTTAGTGAGTCTTTCTCGGGCCTCTGTCTCCTGCCGGGCTCTGGGCCGGCGCAGGCCGTGGGGACCGAGTGGAAGCCACGCAGGTGAGCGGCACGCCACCGGGGTGTCACATCGGGGTCCCCATCGCCTGGGTGATTTGGGGAATTAAGGCAGCGCTGTGCCCAGAGCCCCGTCTCCAACACCTGGCCCCAGGACACGCCCACCCTGGCTAGAAGTAACAGATCAGGGGCCTCTGCCTCCCCCTGGGCGGGGAGATTAAACGGGATTCTGGCAGGAACGCAGCCCCGGACTGAACAATCGGGCGGGATGGGGTTTCCGCTCGCAGGTGGCAAGGCCTCGAATCAAAGGGACACCTTATCTCCTGCAGATAAACACGTCTTTCTCTTCCTCCTCCTGTCTCCTTAATCCTCCCAGGAAATCTGAGCAGGAAAGCCGGGCTGCTCGGGGGCCCGGGGAAGTTTGAAAGGGTTTAAGAATCACCGAAATCTGGGTGAACAATAAGGGAGCTTTCAGGGCGGAAACGGGGCCGCAGGTGCCTCCTTTGTCCCCAGAGGCCTGCTCACCTGGGGCCAGGTGAGCCCAGAGCTGTGCGATGACAGCCCGGCCCCTCACCGGGGCCCCCCCCGGGGGTGCCACAGGGGGCGCCGTACCTGAGCACCTCCCGGATGGTCTGGTGGGCATCGTCCCGACACTTCATGCCCACCAGGCAGGCGGCCCACTGCTGCAGGATCCGCCTCTTCTCCATGGCGATGGCGTCGATCTCCGCGCCGGCCTGCGGCCGAGAGGGGACGCTGTGTCCATGCGCCGGGCTCGGAGCCCCGAGCCGCTGGCACCCTCTCCCTTCCCCGTCACCCCTACCCCCTCTTCTTTCTCTCGATCCAGCAAGAGGACAAACACGAAACGAGACTCGGCCATGCAGGCTCCTCGGACCCCCGCCGGATCCTTTCCTCAGGGCCGGGCCCGCCAGACCCCACACGGGAGTGGGCCTCGGAGCCCAGGAGCAGGCTGGGCTGCAAAGACCTTGGCCGAAGCCATTCTTTAAGTATTTTAAACACCCACTTCAGTTTTTTAAAAAATTGTGGCCCTGGCCAGGTGGCTCCGTGGGTTAGAGCCCATTGTGGGTTCAATCCCCAGCCAGGGCTCACACAAGAGCCAGCCGATGAACGCACCAATAAATGGAACAACAAAAATGGAAGTTTCTCTCTCTCTTCCCCAACCCTCTGCCTCTCTCTCTCTAAAATGGAGAAATTAAAAAAATGTTTAGCCCTGGCTGGTGTAGCTCAGTGGATTGAGCGCGGGCTGCGAACCAAAGTGTCGCAGGTTCGATTCCCAGTCAGGGCACATGCCTGGGTTGCCGGCCATGACCCCCAGCAACCACACATTGATGTTTCTCTCTCTCTGTCTTTCTCCCTCCCTTCCCTCTCTGAAAATAAATAAATAAAATCTTTTTAAAAAAAGTTCTAAAAAAAATTTTTAAAACTGTGTTGCTGTGTTAGCAAGCACAGTAAGCAAGAAGGAAGTGACATCACCCATGAGCCCCCTGTAGAGGGCGCCACCTCTGACACCCGGCGCTGTCTCCCCTGTGTGCCTGCCTGTGTGTGTGACCGTGCTCTCCATGTCTGCTCGTGATTCCGTGCTGACCCTCAGCCTATGGCGAGCGGGTTTCCACGTCAGCAAATGTTTACCACGGACCTTGAATGGCCCTGGGGCTCGGGGAGCTGACCCCTGGCGCAGGCGACGCCTGGCGTGCCCGGGTCTTCCTGCCTGGTGGGTGGTGCCCATGCTGCGTTACCCTGGGCAGCTGTTCCCTCTGGGCGGCCACGTCCCGGGTCACGCTGAGGAAGCCCTCTCCGGCCCAGGAGTTTAGAAATACTTTTCTTTTCCTCTGCTACGTTTTCCCCATTTAAATTCTTGATCCCATCTGGAATTTATTTCAGTGTCTGGTATGAGGAAAAAGTCTAATCCCCCCCCCCCAAATGATTAACCACATGGCCCGACACCACGGGGTGTGTAACTCACTCCTCCGTAATTTACGAAAATGCCCGAGGCATTTTCGGGGACCCGTGATGCGGGCCTCCGGGCGATGCTGGGGTCCTGGTGGGCCCGGGGCTGCCCGGCGGGGGCACAGCACGTCCCGCGTCTCCAGAAACCCCCGCATCGGGGCTGAACCCGGGGCGATCGGTCACCCTCCACAAACCTCCCCTTCCCAAACAAGTCTTGGCTGGCCTTCTGAAGTTACTTTCCAGATAAACTACAGAACCGCTGCGCTAGCTGAAAGCCGTGTTGGCTGAGATTCTGACGGGAACACATCTGGACTAAGTCTGTTTCCAGGCTGGGAGGGAGGCGGCTGTCCCATGGGCCCCGGCCGCGTGTCCGGTCCACCCGCCTGAGGCCTCTCCCTCCCTTGGGGACAGCGGCCTGTCCCTCCCTGTGTCCCTGCGCGCGCAGACACAGACAGGGGGTCGCAAGAGAAAAGGGAGTCACAGCAGCTTGGGTCTCCAGTGCTGGCCCCGGAATCGGGTGCCACACGGGCCTGCTCCCCTTGCTCCTGGTGGGGCGGAGACGCGGGCGCTGCCCGGGCCTGAGCTTGTCCGGGACGCTTCCGCCGGCCCCGAGGGGGCGCCCCGCGGGCACAGCACGAAGCGCCAGTTCCCGGAGGAACAACTGCACGGCCTCGGGCAGCCGGCCCCTGCTGCGTCCCCACAGGGCCAGCCCGACGCTGTGAGACGCTGCGGAGGACCCAGAGCTGGGCCGCTCACGCACCAGGCGCGCGGGCGGCGGGCGCGTCTGCAGCACAGCCCGCGGGGGGGGCGCTCTCACCTCGCTCACAGCCTTCCGCAGCAGCTGGGTGTCCTCCGCCTGGGCGACGTGCTGAGCCTCGAACAGGGCGATTTGTTCCTCCAGCTGGTGGGCCCTGGCGGTGAGTCGGTCCACGTGCAGGTCCTGGGGGATGAGACCACGTGCAGGCCTGTCAGGGCCCGACCCCCGACCCCAGGGGGTGACCCCGAGGCTGGCCGCGGCCCCTCCGGGCTGCGGGGTTCACGCCAGCGGCGCCACCGGGGCCTCGGCCTCACGGCGCCCCGTACCTGCTGCTTCTTTTCCAGCTCGGCCCGCGCCCGCTCCGCCTCCGACTTCTTCACGACCTGCGTCATCACGAGGATGTCACCCTGCACGTCCCGGTCCACGTTCTGCATGTAGAAGACGTTCAGGGACAGGTTCTCCATCTCCGCGTGCAGGGCCGCCACTGCGGAGGGAGCCGTCCGTGTCAGGGCCGGCCTCCGGGCTCCTCCCCCGCGCCGCCACCCCCGGCCGCGGGCCCTGCTTCTGCTGGGACGCCCCATGTCCAGGGACCCGCTTCTAACTGGAAGCCCCTCGTGGAAGAGCGGGGGTTGGGGGGGCAGACTTTTCAGCGGCTCCCGCAACCTTCGACCCCAGCGTCACTCCCGGGAATGAATCGATTCCAGCGGCGACCCTCGTGCGCCAGGAGGGACACCTTCAGGGGGGCCTGACCGAAGCGGGCGAGCCTTTTTTTAAAGCAGAGCGCCTCCTCCCGGCCGGGGACAGGCGGAGGAGGACGTGAGGACGTGAGAACGATCCTCCGATTCTCCCGGGGCCCAGGGGATGGTGCCACGGGGGCCAGCTCTGCCGTGCGCCCCGCCCCCCCTGGTTTTCTCACCGTAACTTCTCCGTGGCCCGGAGCGGAGTCACGCCCCCGCTGCTGGTTCCAGACACACATTTACCGAGGCCTGGCCTTCTGCCCCAGCCCGGGGGGCGCACAGCGGGCTTCCTCAGACTCCTCCCCCTAGCACCCCCGCAGAGAGGATTCTCCCTCTCCTGTTACCGACGAATGTAACATATTAAACTAGTACTTTTCCTGATCACAAATTATTCCGGAAATGAGCCCTTCTTGGCTGGGGGGTATTTTTCTTCTAATACATCGTGGAGCTGGATCTGTTGCTGGACCAATATTTAATATTCGCTACTGCTTATCGAGGACTGGGACACCTCCTACGTGCGCTGGCTGCACGGTTCTCTGTTTCCGGCGTGGCCGGCGTCTGCGGCAGGGTGGTCCCGGGCCTTGTAAGACGAGGCTGGGGGCAGCTAGCTCCCCAGCTTCCTGCCCGCGGAGGGCTGAGTGGCCGAGGAGGTGTTGTCCTCTCTGTCCGTCCACAGCATCCCCCTCCGCATCTGGAATTTGGAGACGTCGCCAGCTCTGTCTGCACCTGTTCATCGTCTCTGCCACCTGCGTGGCCCCCAGGAGTCTTCGACCCTGAACACTCCCGAGTCTTGAATTCCTGCGAATGTTCTCCTCTGAGGCCACTGGCCAGTGCCCCTGATCTTCTGGAATTCCTCTCTTAGGAATGTTACGTGTTCCCAGATCGGCCACCTTTTATCTTTCTCAAAACACCCATCGCTTGGGGTGCTTGCCCGGCACTGTGGGGAGAATTCCTCCAACCGGCTTCTCCGTTTCCACGTTCAGTTCTCACGGTGCTGGTCTGAATACTTAACGCGCCTTCTCTTGGCTGAGGATTATTTTTAAATCCCAAGCATCCTTTTCTCCGGCACTTTGGTCTCATTTGACGGATGAGCTGCCCAGAGCACCGGCCGGGGCCCTGCTCCGTTTTGGGGGCCGGGTCTGCCCGGGCAGGTGGCTGCTCTGTCCGAGGAGCCCGCCTCCTCTCCTGCGTGCGGGCCGCCCCATGACTCACCCTTTGATTGGACGGTTTCTGTGGCTGCCGGGCTCACCTCCCTCCCAGGTGAGGCCGCAGCCATGGACCCTGTTCAGGGGCAAAGCTCCCTGTTGACCAAAGGGACGCAGCGGCCACACCGGTGGGCAGGGCCAGGGAGGGAGAACCAGTGCTGTTGGCTGGGACCCGTGCTGAGCGGGACCGTCCCCGCTTCTGCTGCCCGGCCACCTCCAGAAAGGACGCACAGTCGGTGGAGATGCTTAGATCTTTCCAGAAGCCCCCCCACACCTGGAGCCTCGGCTGACGGGTGCTGGCGGGCGCTCCCTGAGGTGTGCAGCGGGGAGGGCACGCCCGCTGGCAGGCGGCGGTCACACCTGCAGGGCCCACGCAGCTCTTTCTTGCTTCAGCGAGAAAGTCGTGTTCTTCCCTTTCGGGCATTTTCGGTCTCATCGGAGGCAATCGGCGCTCGACCAGTGAGCGCTGGCGGGACCGTGGTCGGGGAGCCTCTCCAGGCTGTCCTCAGGGCCCACGGCGCTTCCTCCCGGCCACGGCGGGGACCGACGCGCCATCCAGTTCTCTTCCCGATTCTCTTAGGTCCTCCCCTCCATTACGACAGAAACACCGTGCTGTTGGAGTTGGAATGTTTTTTTTTTTAAAGATTTTATTTATTTATTTTTAGAGACGGAAGGGATATATATATGTATATATATGTATATATATATACACATATATATACACACACACAGAGAGAAACATCAGTGTGCGGTTGCTGGGGGTCATGGCCTGCAACCCAGGCATGCGCCCTGGCTGGGAATCGAACCTGGGACACTTTGGTTTGCAGCCCGTGCTCAATCCACTGAGCTACGCCAGCCAGGGCTGAAGTTGGAATGTTTCAGTGTAGAAAAGCGCCCAGACTAAAACGGCGCGCAGTGGGCCCACGAAGTCACTGCTCCCCGTGAGCCGGCCCGACCCCCGCGCTGCGCAGGGCGTCGGGTGCTGCCGTCGCGCCAGGGCGTGTGCTGGTCCCAGCGCCGCCGTCTCGTCTGCTCCGACGCCGCCCGGCCTCCCTGCTTCAGTCGCTGCCTCCCCAGCCTCCGGCCCGGGGCTCGTTCAAGCCCTTGCGCCCCACGGGCTTCGCCTGACCGCTGGCACCTGCCCACGCCCTGCGGTCCCAGGCCTCCTGGCCTCCTGGACACGCCCACCTTGGAGCTCGGCAGCCCGGCCGCCTCCCCTGCTTCTCGCTGTGCCGCCCCGAGGGGCAGGCTACCCGGCGGCTGCTTCCTGAGCAGGCACCTTCTCAGACGTCTATGCAACCCTTTTCCAAAAAGGCCGGGCACCCTCCGGGCCTCGCTTTTCTGCGTGTTCTGTGACGGCTCGTGGGGGGCCCTCCGGGAGGTGGGGGCCCTCGGGGATGTGAGGAGGCTCGGAGCCGCTTACGCTTCCTGTGTTCCTCGTTGGTGGCCTCGCAGGTCTTGGCGTAGAGCGCCCGCGCCTGCTTCAGCTCTTCCTCCTGCTTCTGGCGGGCGCACGCCGTGATGGAGTGGCGGTCGTGGCTCTTCTCCAGCTGCATCTGCAGGCGCGCCAGGTGCTGCTGCACCCCATAGAGGTCCACCCCCAGCTCCTGCCGCTGGGCCCGGCTGCGCTTGGTGGCCATGCCCTGCAGCGGGTGGAGAGAGGAACCGCCGGGTCAGGGGGACGTGGGCACCGGGCCGGCGGGCGGGCGGGCGGCCGGGGGGACGGCGCGTACGCACCAGCTCGCGGACCTCCAGCGTCAGCTTCTCTATCTGGCGCTGCAGGTAGCTCTTGAGGGCGGCCTGGAATCTCAGCATCAGGGGCTAAAACGAGGGCAGAGCACCCGGGTCAGGCTCCCCGCCCCTCCTCGCCTCAGCCTCTGGTGTCCTCCTCCTCGGGGGTGGGGGTGGGGCGGGCACCACCTCGGCACTGGGTGCTCACCACGTCCGGCCCGGATTCTCACTCCGGAAGCTAGGGGTCCCCTCGCAGGCCCTGCAGGCCCGAGTGGGTGTTCTGGCAAAAGGACAGGGCAAGCTGGGCCGGGGTCCCGCGGTGACGCAGGGTCAGAGGGGGCGCTGGCACCCATGGGCACTCAGCCCCTTTGGGGGGCAGCCCCGTCCCCCCTTCGGATGGGTGCCGCGGCTGAGCGAGGCCAATGAGGGGCGTATGGTCCTGAGAGGCGAGCGCGCCCTCCCAAGCAGCAGGCATGACCCGCGCAGAGTAACTGTTCCGTGAGCCGGGGCCGCGGGGGCCCAGCGCTGGGGCGATGGGGCAGGCCCGTGCAGGCGGAGGGCGGAGGGCGGAGAGAGGCCCGAGCGCGCCTGAGTCGCCCCTCGCCTACGCAGGACCGGGCAGCGTCTCCTTACGTGGCTCGGGTCCAGGACCACCAGCGGGGCCGCGTCTTCCTCCGCAGCGGCCTGCTCACTCCCCTCGGACTCCGCGGGCTGCGCCGGCCCTTCCCGGGAGGGGCTGGGCTCCTGGGTCCCGTCCGGGAAGGAGGGCGGGGAGTCTTCCCTGGAGCGGGCGTCGGGCTCCTCTGGAGGGGACAGCAGGCGACACGGAGCGGGGCGGGGCGGCAGAGTCAGCTCTCAGGCGGAGCCGGTTTCCAGCCTCGGGCACGTGGGGGGGCCTCAGGGAAAAGGGGCCGGCGGGCGGGGCTCGGGGTTCCATCGGCATTGGGGTTCTGTCTTCTGCTCCTGAATGTCTGCCCGCCGACGGGACACGCTCCGTGGAAAGGGCCCCATAAATGGCGGGGACAAAGCTGGTACCTCACGGACGGGACATCCCCGGGGGCCGCGAGGGGGCTGGTCCTGAGGGCAGGGGCCGCGCATGGTACCTGGCTCGCGTCCCGAGGGCCCCTCCGGGGTCAGGAGCAGCTCGTCCGAGGAGGAGGCGCTGCCCCACCGGCTCAGCCTCAGGGGGTGCCGGGCCCACCGAGCAGGGCCCTCCCGCGGCAGCTCCTCCTCCGACGTGTCCTGCAGCGAGAACCGCCAGTCCCGGGTCTGGGAGCGCTCGGTCAGATGGCGGGGAGGGGGGGGGCGACCGGGTTCGGCTCTCCGCGGCGCTCACAGTCCCACGGGATTGTTAGAGGCAGAGGAAACCCTTCGGATACAGAGGTTACTCGGGTTGCCCTGACCGGTGCGGCTCAGTTGGTTGGAATGTCATCCTGCAAAATCAAGGGCTGCTGGTTCGATTCCCGGTCCCGGTACACGCCCGCCTTGTGGGTTCAGTTTCCAGTCGGGGGGTGCAGGAGAGGCAACTGATCGATGTTTCTCTCCCCGCCCCTTCTCCCTCCCTTCCCTTCTATTCCCTTCCCTTTAAATATTTTTTTAAAAAAGAGTACTTGGCGCCCTGGCTGGCATAGCTCAGTGGACTGAGCGCGGGCTGTGAACCAAAGTGTCACAGGTTCGATTCCCAGTCAGGACACATGCCTGGGTTGCAGGCCACGGCCCCCAGCAACCGCACATGGATGTTTCTCTCTTTCTCCCTCCCTTCCCTCTCTAAAGATAAATAAATAAAATCTTAAAAAAAAAAGAGTACTTGGCTTTTGCAGATGGTCAGAATGGACCTTGTCTACCCCGCTCCCCCAGCCCCAACCTGGGACCCAGGCGTGCTCTCTGGCTGTCTGGATCTGCGAGTGCTGGAGGAACCGGCGTGCTGGGCGAGGCCCCTTCCCCGCAGGCGCTGACCCCCGGGTACCGGGGCAGCCTCTCTGAGCGTCCTCCTCGTAAACGCCCTCTGGGACGCCCTGCCCTGGTCTTCCAAGAGGGCTCTTTTTTCAAACCGTTCACACTGGGAACATTGGGGTCAGAAGGTGTTTTCCCTCGATAAAACCGCCTGGCTCCATGTCCATTTTACCAGGGACTCTCGACCTTATCGCTGGCCACAGTTCTTGCCGAGGGTCACCTGGTGAACGTGAGCGCCACCCGGGACCCTGCACAGCCGCCCCGGGAGGGGGGCACCTGTAGGCGAAGCAGCCCCACGGAAGCTGAAGACTGGCCTGCGTTTGCGCAGCCGGCCGAGGGCAAGTCCCAGGTCGGGGTATCTCCACCCCCAGCAAGTGCGCTCGGTGGCTGCACCTCCTCAGACGATGCTGACCCTGGAAACGACGTCTGAGGCACCCAGAGGCTCAGCGACATCCGTGGGGACCCGGAGTGAAATGCCCACCTCTGGGGTGTCCAGAGAGGGTCCCCTGAGGCGTCCCTGCATGCCGCTGGACACAGTGGCTCATACTTCCACAACTCTTTTTTTTTTTTTTTTTAGAGAGAGAGAGAGAGTGTAAGGGAGTGAGAAAGAGAGAGACATCTGTGTGTGGTTGCCTCTCCAACGCCCCCTACTGGGGACCTGGCCTGCAACCCAGGCATGTGCCCTGACTGGGAATCGAACCGGCGACCCTTTGGTTGGCGGGCCTGCACTCAATCCACCGAGCCGCACCAGCCGGGGCCACCATTCCTCTGTCTTCTAGAGAACTGGCGCCAGCAGGGAGGAAGGACACAGGGCTCCCCCTTAGGGACTGTTTCTGCTTTTCTGGTTGGTCACATTTGGGAACCATTTCCCAGGGAATTTTCTGGAACCTAGCGCCGAGGATGGACACTGGGTTTACAGCTCCACAGACCGCCCCACACGTCAGGTCTCCTGGTCATCTCAGGAGGGGAAGACCCTCTGCTCTGCGGTCAAATCCTCAGACGTGGTCTCGATCCTGTGTGTGTGCCATGTGTAATAAGAAAGCTTAAAGAGGGCCCACGAAACATCCAATCACGTCTTTCTCCGAAGTCGTGAACTCGGGCTTCTCGGGGCGGGGAGCTACCGCTGCTTCGTGGCTCAGGAGGGCAGCCCGGGGGGAGCAAGAGTGACGGTCCGCCCTGGCAGCTGCGTGGCACAGGGCCGGGCGGGCCCTCCGCCCCGGCCTCCCCGCCAGTGTGTGAGGCCGACCGTGCCCGCTGCACAGGGCTGCCGTCGGATTCACCGAGACAGCACATGGCCGGGACACAGAGCGCCCCGCCTCCCGGCCCCTTGCTCCCCTCTCAGGGCTCACCCCACAGGGCAGCCCGCCCGAGGTGGGGTGCGGACCTGCTCGGGGCGGGCGAGGAGGTGGGGCGCAGAGGTTACCCTTTGGGGTGCGGGCACCCCAGCGACCCCCCTGCCTCCCTGGGCAGGGCTGGAGCGCTCTGCGGCCACACCGGACAGGTGGTCCCCACGCTGGAGGGCGCCGGAGGAGGGCACCCCCCCCCCCCGGATACAGAGCATCTTGCTGGACCAGCGGCGCAGAGACCACAAACCCAGAGGCCTCCCCGGGGAGCGGGCCCACCCTTGGCGTCTAGATGCCTGCCAGGCAAGTTCCGACAGGGGTCGCCGTGGGGACTGGAAGTGCACCGAGTTCCCCACGCGGGGTGACACGCCGCAGAGGCAGCCACATGCCGCCTGACACAGACTCGGACCGCGGCTACTCACCGGGGGGCTGGCCCTGCGCCGGGGAGCACCACGGCCGACGTCCCGGGGTCCTGCCCGAGGGAGGGGCTCTCCGTCCTGGAGACGGGCCGCCCTCCGTGCCCTTTCAGACGGGGACGCGGAGCGACCTTCCTCTCTGCCCACGTCCCCGGGACTGGCGTCCGAAGAGCTGGCTCTGCCCTCAGGGGACATGGTGTCCTCTTCAGACTCCAACTCCTCCTCCATCTCCACCTCCTCCGAGGTCTCCACCTCCTCCGAGGTCTCCACTTCCTCGGCAGGTGAGACTTCCCCACCAGGTGTGACTTCTCCACCAGGTGCTGCTTCCCCTTCGGGTGCGACTTCCCCATCAGGTGCCACTTCCCCACCAGGTGCCACTTCCCCACCAGGTGCCACTTCTCCATCAGGTGCCACTTCCCCACCAGGTGCTGCTTCTCCACCAGGTGCCACTTCCCCTTCGGGTGCGACTTCCCCTTCGGGTGCGACTTCTCCATCAGGTGCTGCTTCTCCATCAGGTGCCACTTCTCCACCAGGTGCTGCTTCCCCACCAGGTGCGACTTCCCCTTCGGGTGCCACCCCCCTCTCAGGAGGTTCTGCAGCATCAACAGGGTCTTCATTTTCCTGGTCACCACCCTCCTCTGCCGTTGGCACCTGCAGCCACGGGGCAGGGAAAAAGCCAGGAAACAAAGTTACATGGGGTCTCGTGAGGTCTGCTGCTTCTTTTATTTTTATTTTTATGTTTGTATTGTGTCTTACTGGTTATGCGACCGTAGTCGCCCCAATTGCCCCCCTTGGGGGGGTTTACCGCCGTGTGCTGGCGCCGATGAAGGAACTCCACCCCCACGCACGCTTCCGGGCATCCCCAGCGATGCCTCCCCCTCCCACTGGTCTGTGCTGCCTTTTGGTCGCTGCTGCTTCCTCTTGTTGGTAGTGAGCCTGCACCCTTCCTTGCAGGGCGCAACCGCTGACCAGCTGGGGTTCTCTGGGGAGCAGGGTGTGCCCCCGGACCCGCCAGGCCGCACACACTTCGCGCTGCGCGGAAGGGGACCGCGGCTCTCGGCACGGGGCGGAGTCCGCTCTGGCGCGGGGCCCTCCGCCACGTCTCCGACTCTAGTGAACTCCCGCCCGGAACGACTTGCCCCGCCCCGCGGGGACCTTTACCCTGTGGCCTCCGGTGTCCTGGTCCTCCGCTTCGGGGGTCGAGTCTCCCTCCCAGCGAGACCTGGTGGCAGAAAGGCCACAGAACGGCTTCACACCCTGGAGGGCTCTCCCCCACCCCCCGCCGTCCTCACCTCCCCGGCGCCTGCGCGTCTGGGTGGTGACGTGTGGGTGCCCACGCGTCACCAACCCCGACCCTGGACGGTGCCGGTCGGGTGGTGGGAGGGCGCCCGAGGCGGCTGCGTGTGGCGAGAGAAAGAAAAACACAACCGCTGAAACACCACCAGCGCGAGTGGGTCGCGCCAGGAAAGCCACCTGGAACGCACTCGTGTCCGCGACACAACCAGGGCCGAGGACGAGGAAGACGCGGCGGCGGAAAAAGGACTACTCTGAACTCTGGGTTGGGTAGGGCGGGAATGTCCTGACGTACAGGCTTAAAATTATTTTTTTTTCTAACTCACAACACAACCTCGTTATCTTTTCAATGTCACACTGAAGCAGAAATGGGTGACACGGGCGATAAAAGGCCCCCGGGACTCGGCCTGTCCTTCTCAAACCACCGGCGGTGCCAGCGAGGGCCCGGAGCGCACGCTCTCCCCCGGATTTCCCGGGGACTTGAGACACTCCCTGCGCTGGAGACCCCTCTGCGCGCGCGCGGGTCCCGACTCTGCATCGCACGTGACCCGGGCTTCCTGGCGCTGCCAGACCAGGCCCAGACTTTCTTTTTCTTTCTCTTTTTTTTAATGGGGCAATACAGCCATGCCTCAGGTTAAGGGCGAATTCTTTAAAACTGCGTCTATGCTTTCAAAGAAGCATGGGAGACCGGCCTGGCGGGAGGACCTTCCCCGACTACCTGTGCTGAGGTCAATTGTCCCGCACCCCCTGCACCCCCGCCAGCTCGGGGAGGGGCCGGGGTCGCCCTTCTAAGGGGTCACCGCAGCGGGGGCGGCGGCCCGGAGGACCCCCACCCCGCAGAGCCGCCTGCGCGCGGCTCCAGCTCCGCAGCAGAGGCCGACCGGCGTGGGGGTTGCCATGGTTACTGCCGGGCGTCCGGGTTTTCGCGAGTGGAGCCTCGAGGGCCAGGGGAGAGAGAGCGGGTGCGGGAGAGGACAAAGGGCGGTGAGGAGGGAGGAGGGGCGCGCAGGGGCGGGCGGGGCGGGCGGGGGCGCCGGGCACGGCGCAGAGAGTGGGGATGGAAGGGGCAAAGGTGGGGAGAAAGGGGCGAGAGGGAAGGGGCGACCCGGGGGCTACGGGGCGCTGTGGGAAGGGGGAGCTGCCCCGAGAACGCAGCCTCTGGACCCCGCTTACCCGCCGGCCCCGCCGCCCGGCTCCGCCATCTCCCGTTACTAGGCGACGCCGTCAACATCCGGCCGGTGGAGACCCCGCGCGCGCGCGCGCGCGGCGGGCGGCCGGGGCGCGCGGCCCCGGGGCGGTTTCCGCGCGCTGGAGACACAGGCTCTCTGATGAGTAGATGTGTCCGAGCTTCAGCGTGGACCCTCCATCGCTGCTCGCGGTCCGAGCGCTACCCCACCCGGCTGAGTTTCTGTAAAGCGACAACCGTGTCAGCGTGCGTCCAACCCGGAAACTCCTATGCCCAGGGGACTGCGCGGGGTACCTTCCGGAGCCCCGGGCGGCTCAGCGCCCCAGGGTGGCAGGTGGAGGTGGAGACGGGAGGAGCCCTGGAGCCGGCTGCACCTTCGGGTGGGCCGGGAACCCCAGCCTGGTGCCCGCCCACCCTTCTCCAGACCTGGGTGTCTGGGTGCCCCCTCCACAGTGTTCCCGCGAAGCATCCTCGGAGGACGGGGGGTCCCCAGTGGCTTCCTGCCGTGTGTCGCCCCCTCCCTACCCCCCGAATAGAAAACAAAACAAAACACTGAGAGAGCCTGACGGCGAGGGCAATAGCGCACGTGGAATGTCCCAGAGACCCCGCCTTCACTCTGGGGGGCTCGGGGCTCGTGTAGGGGCGCCAGAGTCCAGCGCCCGGGACTTGGGCAGGCGGCAAGGCCTGGAATCCAGGGGCCTGGGGCCTGGGGCCTGGGGCCAGGGGGCTAAGGCAACCGGAGCAGTGTCGGATTCGGCCCCAGGTCGGGCAGGGGTCCGCTGAGGGCCCGGTTGGGCCGAGGGCGGGGATCGGGTTGGGCCGTAGGCGGGCCGGGGGCCGGGCCTGGCCGCGCGTCCCCGCCCCGCCGCGCCTCACTGGCGGCGGCGGCAGTGGTGGCTGTGGCGGCGGCGGCTCCCGGAGCCGGCGCGAATCCGGCCCCCGCTGTGGGATCCGGGTGGGTATTGGGGCCCGGCCTAGGGCCATGGGGGCGGGGTCGCAAGGGCGGGCGGGGGACGGGGCGGCGCCGCCTCGGCGGGGATGGGGTGGACGCGCGGAGCGCGTGGGCCTGCAGCCGCGAGCCCGGGAGGGGCCAGGGTCTGGCCGCAGCCTAGAGCGTGCAGGGCCCGAGCGGGGGTCGGGCGGCGCGCAGTCGCTCCGGATCGCGCAAGGCGCATGCTGGTGGCCCCCTCCGTGGCGATGGGGGCGCCCGGGCAGAGTGGGCCTAATTCCGGGACACTAGGTTCCCGCCCGTTTGGAGCGGTGGACCGGAGAACTTGCGGTCTTTGTCTGGCTGGATGGTCGGAGCGCGCGAGAGAGAAGTTGCAGGGGCCGCCGTTTGCCCACACAGCTCCCCGAAGTGTGCCGTCCACCCCACGGCGCTCGCTCTTGCCATTCCCCGCACCGGTGGGCGGTCTGGCCGGGAGCCTCCCGTCAGGAAACTCACTTCCCTTAGGCCCGGCTCTTCCCCCTTGTTCTTTACTTAAGGGTGGGGGGGGAAGCAAGCAAGAAAAAAGAAGAATAGAAACAAGGAGAAAGAGAAAAATAAGCAATTTGGGATCGCCAAATGTAACCTCGGAACCTCGCCAGCAGCCAGGCGTCTGGAAACCCCGTTACTCTCGCGCCGGGAAGTTGGCGCCCCACGGGGAGCGCAGTCCGGCCCGCGTTCAGTTCAGCAGCAGACCAGGCCTCTCTGCTCCGGGGGCCGGGTTTGTGTCCCCACTTCCCCAAGTTTGTGGGAGGACGGGGGTGCGCCCTGTGGCTGGTCCCTCCGTCTTTCTTCACCTCCTGGAGGCCCTGGAGCAGCTCCCCTGTGGACGGAAGGGGAGACCGGTTCTTAAGACCACGCCCCCTGGGTGCGTTATTAGAGCCCCCCCCCCGCCCCCCGCAAGGCCCGGATTGGAGAACGCTGCTCCCAGGCTGCCGCCCTCCAGCAGGGAAGGCTTGGAAATCCGCATGCTCGTTTTAGGAAAAAAAAAAAAACCCTCCCTGGAGACATCGGTGTTGACTGGGTGAGAGCTACACCGTGAAGGCGTTTGCAAAGGAAGGGTCTGGTCTGTTCACGGGAGGGAGGCCTTTTCTCGGTCCCGGTAAAGTTGGCTGATGGCGCAGCGTGGGCCGAGCGGGGGTCCCCGTGTTCTCTCCGGCACTCGGGGACCTCGGGTGTCTGCGGGGAGCGGAGCCTCCGAGTGAGAGTCACGGGAGGAAGCTCTTGTTCGTGGAGCGTTGAGCCCCCCGGCAGTGAGGGTGCCAACCAGCAGGCGTGAGTTCATTTAACCCTTGTAACGTGGAGACGGATACGTTGTCCCCTCTTCGCAGACAGGGACCCGGAGGCCTAGAGAAGGGACCGCCCCAGGTTCGGGCAGCTGGGACTCGGCGCCTTGGGCACAGGACGGTCCCGGTCCGAAAACATCCCCTCAGTGCCGCACGCCGCCTGCCCTCGGTGACCGGTCCCCAGGGCTCCCACAGGCACTCTCCCTGTCCCCTCGTGCGGACAGGACGGCCCGGCTCGCTCTGCCGGGTGACTCATTGAAATGCAGGGCAGCTGGGACTAATCCCACGGCAGCACGAGCGGCCAGGGGCGGGCCCAGCCTGCCTCCCCCGGGCTGGCCGCTCTGCCCGGGTCCCGGGCGGCTCGGGGCAGCAGTCGCAGTGCGGCCTCCGGAGCTGGCCGCTGCCTCAGTGCCAGCCCCGGCGCCCAGTGCGGGCTTGATGTCCCTGGGCCTCAGTGTCTCCGTCTGTAAAATGGAAATAATACCACCTGCCTCACAGGCCTTTTGCGATGATGACATAAAGTATCTAGTACCTGACAGGCGCTAATGGCTTGTTACTATTATTATTATTATTATTATTATTATTAACGACCATGGCTTGCATGTCTCACTTGGAACTAGATGGGCAGAAATATTTTGGTTTGGTTTTGTGATGCTCTGTACGTGTGCTCCGTCAGGTAGGAAGTCATCATGAGCAAAAGTGAGATTTGCCGTTTAGGTATGTTTATGCTCATGTTTGTAACTGTGCAGGGGAGCGGGACAGCGTGGGGGCGGGGCAGGGGGGGGGGCGCTGGGTCCCTGCCGGCTGTCCCAGGGAACGGGCCCACCAGGTTGCCTGGCAACACAAACCTGGAGGAGAGATTCCCCCTTGTCTCCCCCACCCCCCAGCTGAGAGACCCAGATTTCTTCACGGGCTTGAATCCTCGTTTGTAAGATCAGCTACTTAGTTTCGTAGTGGAACGTTCGGAGGTCGGCGGCGCGAGGGCGGAACCCCCCCTCCCGGCAGCAGAGACGGGCTGGACGGGCGTGCGGAGTGTTGCCCGTGGTTCTGTTGTCCATTGTCCATTGTCCTGTCGTCCGGCGTACAGCAGGCCCTCAGTATCGTATCACTGCGGGTCCTCGAATGACGCCGTTTCGTCCGATGCCATTTCATTGCAACACCGATCGGGGCCTCTTGGAGCTCAGCGAGTGTTTGCATCCAGTAGCTCCCGGTAAGAGGAGTCTCGTCACAGAGTCCCAGAGCCTAGCTGGGGTGTCCAGTGGGCACTCGCTGCGTTCAGAGTCTGGACGAGCCCAGCGAGCAGAAAAGCAGGCGCATGTCTGCCCGCCCCCCCCGCCACGTCCGGGGCAATGGGGCAGGACATCTTCTCCCGTGCACTTTGGGGCTGGTCTCTCCATGCTACTGGCCCCCCGAGCGTCCTCCAGTCCCCTGGTCCGGCACCGCTCATCCGTCTGCCCCAAAGAACTCTCTGAGGGCTGGCGTCCGACCTGAACTCACGCAGCCGGCCGCAGGGGAGGAGAGGGGCCGGGCTGCTGGAAGGCCGAGGTCAGCGTCTGACCGCCCAGGCTCACGAGGCACAAAGAAAGGGGGGGAAGACCCCAGATCCGCCCTCCCCCTCCAGCGCCGCCCTCCTCCGGCCGCGCCACCTGCACGCTCGTCGACACCGAGTGACCCTGACCTCCGCGGTCCGAGAGCAGAGGACACTCTGGACTCCGGGCAAAGGGCATGGTTAGATGTCATTGGATGCCCCTGGCTTTTCAGTTTCTGTCACTAAAATGCTTTCTTTTTTTTTTTAAAGATTTTATTTATTCATTTTTAGAGAGGGAAGGGAGGGACATAGAGAGAGAGAGAAACATCCATGTGTGGTTGCTGGGGGCCGTGGCCTGCAACCCAGGCATGTGCCCTGACTGGGAATCGAACCTGCGACGCTTTGGTTTGCAGCCCGCGCTCAATCCACTGGGCTACGCCAGCCAGGGCTGAGATGTTTTCCTAGGCACCGTGCCGTGTGCTGCTCTCCGGGGGTGTCATCCCGCCAGGTCTCGTCGGGCCTCTGCTGGGTGGTGTGCTGGCCCCGCCTGAGCCTCGGACGGCGAGGACCCCTCTGTGCTGAGCCCTTCTCTGCGACAGAGACACCAGGCCCACGGTCCACCTCGGGGTCGGGTGCTGGATTCCCAGCTGGTCCGCACGTCCCCACCACGTTGGGGCCTGGTCCTGCCTCGGTCCCGGTTCTGGCGCTTCTTGAACGATGGTTCTGTCTCCCAGGCCCTGCCGTCGCGGCTCTCCGGGAGGAAGTGGCAGTCCCCCCGAAGCGACATGCACGCCCAGCCTGCCGGTCCCCCTCGCTGCCCTTTCTCCAACTGTCCTGTCGGGGGACCGCCTCTCCCGGGTCCCTTCCCTGCGGCCGTGCGGCCGGAGCTCTGCACTGGGGTTCGTGCCGTCCACTCTGCTGCTTCATTTAAACCAAAGTCGTCCGGTCCTCCGTTCCACGAGGAGACCCGGCCCTGCCACGGCCCACAGCAGCCCTGCCCTTCCCACCTGACCCCTGCAGCAAGCTCGCTGCCTGTCTGCAGTCACCCCAGCTCCCCACGTCACATACAGCTGAGGGGGGGGCTGTCTCAGCCCACGGGTGCAGAGGAGACCTGACATCCCCTGGCCGCACCCAGACGGGGTCCCAGAGCCAGGCCGGCTGTAGGGTTTCCATCACCACGGCCCTGAACACGAAGCTGGGGCTCCCCAGAGACCGCGGTGCCCAGGCCTCCTGGGCCCGCTGCTGGGAAGGGGGCTGGGCCCCACCTGGGCGTGCCCACAGCAGGCGTTTCAGGGGGAAAAGGTCAGTGGGCGTGTGTCCAGCTCCCGTTTCCCCTGGTACTCCTCGTGCCCGGCCTCCGTCGGCTGGCCTTTGAGGTTGGAGCAGAGGAACCGGTTTCTGCTGGCCACCTGCCTGGAGCTCCGTGGGGCGGTCTGGCAGGGACGAGGCCGGGGTCACCGCCTGTGGACTGTGTTCCGTGACATGTCCGGTTCCGTGCGTGCCCGGTGCCCCACCCCTGCTGCCTCCCCGGCGAGCAGCTGCCATGACCCGTGTGGGCTGTGTCCTGTCTGTGCGTGGTGACTGCTGGCCCCATGACCTGTTGGGACCACGTCCGCACTGCTGACCACTGTGTCGCAGCACCTGAGCCCGAGGTGGCCCGAGGGCAGGGGCGGCACAGAGCAGGGAACGGAGAAGTCGCGGCTCCCGGGGGAGTCCAGGCGGGCATGTCTGTGGCCTCCTCGGGCAGGCCCAGGCTCTCCCCGACCCCGGCCCCTGGCCGGCTGCTCAGAGGCCTCCGGCGGCCAGTGGCGGGGGGGAGAAAGAAGGGCAAACCTCCCTGAGGTGGCATCGGCTCTTGACAGTGACCTTGGTGTGCTGTGGGCTGCAGAAAAATTGCCCCCAGAGCTGTCTGCGTCCTAACCCTGGGACCCTGGGAATGCGTTAGGACGTGTGGCAAAGGGCTAAGGTGGCAGGTGGGACTGGGGTCGTCAGTCAGCTGACCTGGGGCTGGAGCACAGATGTTCCCCGGGAGTCTCCGGCAGGAACCGGCCCCGGTGACACCCGCGCCTCAGTGTCAGCACGGTGGGGCCCAGTGGGACCCGAGGCCCCGGGGACAGTGATGTCGTCGTAGCTTTGTGTTGAGTTCCTGGTGGTGGGTGTGGCTCCGAGTGGAGCGGAAGCGCTTTCCGGAAGCAGCGGCACGGGACCTGGGTCTGTTCTGAAGGGCGTCGTTTCGTGACCCGGGTTTTGCTCGTCTCCACCTTTTTAGGGACTTCGTCTCTGCAGCCAGCAGGGTTCTCTTTCCTCGGGTGTGAGTCGGCAAATCTCGGGGAACGAATTGTGGGTAGCAGATGTCTGAGCCTCGCGGCTGAGTCACAGACGCCTCGGCTGCCGCTGGCCCAAGAGCCAGTGGCCGCGTGGCCCTGAGACGTGGCGGGATCACGTGGTTCACAGCAGGCCTGACGCCCTCTCTGCTCCCCTCCCCCGCGCCTCCTTCCCTCCCTCCCCCTTCCCTCCCCTCCCCCCTGGGGCTTCCTGCCCAGGCAGCTGCCCACTCGCCAACCACTTCCAGGCCTGTCTCCCCCTGGAGTGAGACCAGCGCCCTCCGCGGTCTGGCGGACTCACCTGCCTGTGGCCAGGAATCCATGCTTCCGAAAGTCGCTCTAGTGCTTGCAGAGGTGCCAGACCGGGAGAAAAAGCATCTCCATCGCCATGGAGTTTCTGCAGAGAGTTTTTGTTTTATTACGCAAGGGGGCCAAGTCGCTCCTTCCTTTCCGATTGCGCAACAGCCTGTTTTGCAAAAATCCGGTCGCCGGGAGCGGCACGAAGTTGAACTTGCAACCCCACGGCCAGCCGATGGCTCGAACCCAGCTCCGGCACCTTTACTGTGTAGGTTTTCAGTCGTCCCCCCGTCTGTGCCGTGCGCCCACGCCGGTGCCCGGTCTCGGCGCCCGCTGCCCGGTTGGCACCGC